CTCATGAACTAGAAGAAATCCAGAGTGAAATAGAAACATATTTGAGAAGTCTGCCAGCACTGAAAGGAGAATTAACTATTATCACATCTCCTTTGGTCCCAGGTATATTCAACATTCTTGGTTGTTTTTCTGAATATGTGAAAATCCAGTCTTTCTTCAGAAGTTGCTCACCTCTCCCCATCTTTTCTTTTGTTCACTTATTGTTCATTAGCATCATTTGCAATGTGTGTTATGGATGGCCTTGTGGGTCACGGTGACAAGGGAAGACTCCTTCAAAGCCATACTAAATATACAAATTTGTTCTAAACAAATTTAGCTTTAAACAAATTTCCCAGCCCTTCTTTATGATGCAATTTATAACACTAGAAATCTTTGATTTAGAAGTTCTGAAACATCAACTCATTAAAACTTTCCCAGAAGAAATTGACTATTTTTAAAATAGTCAATCTTCCTTCTTGGTTAGACAATATTTACTGTGAGCTATATGCTGTTGGTACCAAAAGACAGGTGAGACAGAAGATACCCTTTGAAGAGCAGTAATCCCATATGGAAAGTAAACAGCAGTAGGTAAAAGAACATATGGAGGTACAAAGTGCTGTCAAAATTAGAAGCCAGATAAACAAGAGCTGGTTTTAGTGATCAGGGAGGTGTGCTGGAGAGACTGGCTTTTGTAATGCTTTGTAGTCTTTTGGAGAGCATCTTTTTAATCTTCATTACTTGTCTTCAACAGATATTTTCATACATGGATTTACTACAAGAACAGGTGGGATATCTTATATACCAACTCTCAGCTCCTTCAATCTCTTCAGTAGTTCCAAACGAAGAGATCCCAAGGTAGTTGTTCAAGAAAATCTACATAGGTTGGCAAAAACTGCAGGTTTTAATGTGGAAAATTTTTATCAAATAAAGGTAAGATTTTGTTTCATATTTTGAACCTATTTTTAGATCATACCAGAAACTACATGGAATTTAATTAAGGTATTTCTCTTTTGTCTCTGGTATTTTATCTAAAATTTTAGTAGTAGTTTCCTTAGATTTATATATCATAGCCTAAAGATCAATTTTATGAAATGTATAAATCTCATATGTTTACATAAATCTCATATTTATATAAATCTCTCTCTCTCTCTCTGTCTCTCTCTCTATATATATACACACACACACTCACACACATCCACCATGCGGCCAGCGCAATGGTTTCATTAATGAGGTTCTTGGCATAAAGTTAGGTAGAAGAGATCAAATAAAACACACAGACTCAGTTACCTTATTTCTATTGCCAGGTGCAAAGATGTACCCACATGTTCACAAAAAGAATAAAAGATCACTTTGGCATGTTTTTCCCATGATTAATAGTGGTCTATCTTTTCTGGAAGGGGTATAGGTACTATTTGGTTAATTTTTAAAATATATATATTTAGTTGTAGATGGATACAATGATTGTATTGTTTTATTTTTATGTGGTGTTGTAGATGGAACTTGCTAGGCAAGCACTCTTCCACTGAGCCACAACCCCAACCCTATTTTGATTATTTTTTGAGATCAAGACAATTAATTATTTTTTAAAAATTTGCCACACATTTCTGTTGTAAGTGTAAGAAAATTGGTACCATTTTGTATTCTTGCGCCAATTTTTCTTTTTTCAGGTAATTTCTTTGGCACAGAAGTCTTCTTTGAAAAACTTTGTGTATTATTGAAGGATGGCAGAAGCAGTTTTGATTGATCTCTTTGGTTTGAAATTGATCTGTCAGGAAAACTGCCATTAGACATTATTGAAGACATTGAATGCCATCCACCTTGCTGCCAAGCCAAGTTCCTTTGCATAATGGATTGCAAGTAACATGAGGCATGAAAGGGATGGTGAACATGATAATTGTGAACTGGAAACAAGCAATGGATTATTAGGTCTCTTGAGAGAATTTGAGACTGTTAGTAATTCCAGCATGGCTGCCTCTTTGTATATCATTAAACAAAAAATAGATGAAAAAAATCTGAGCAGCATTGAGGTAATTGTACCTGCACACAGGAAAACCTTAATGAAGGCTTTTATTGATCATCTCTTCATTAGGGTTTACAATTTTGAGTTTGAAGATTTATAGGTGACTTTGAGGGATGGCCTTTTGAAACAGTCCATTGAGATAAACACAATCCAGCTCATGAACTAGAAGAAATCCAGAGTGAAATAGAAACATATTTGAGAAGTCTGCCAGCACTGAAAGGAGAATTAACTATTATCACATCTCCT